GGACAGTATAAAATGTCAGTGACATGCTGTAGATACATAACTGGTTTCTCCCAGACACATTCAATTTGAAACTCTGATGTAGCAACTTTTTCAATAAAGAACATTTTGTGCTGTAGAAAGTAGTAATCAAGCAGCTACAAAAATCCTTTACACTCTGTCCTTTCCTGTTCACAGTATGTCCGTGTGCCTCCCTTAGTTGGCAGCTACTCCTCCCAGCAGCTGTAGAGTTTTTAACGGGGCAGTTCTGAGGAGCCAGCATGTTGGCTGTACTACAAATGTCGGCTTTTGGGGAAAATGGGCTCCCTCTGGTGAGTGGTTGAGTGGTTGTCAACTGAGCTGCCTTCGTGTTTTGGGTTGCCTTAGCTCAGATTTTGTTTTCTAATGGTACTCTCACAGTGCTTGAGCACTTGCGTGTACTGACATAAAATGTGTTCCTAGCAACTGTCAACACTCGTCATCTTGATTTCCTGGAGCAGCAGAGGGCTTGCAATACAAATCTTGCAACTTTTCACCAGCTGGGAGGGAAGGCTAGGAGACTGCTGCAAAGAGATGCCTATGGAAAACTAGGTATTACAATTGTGTCAGATAATTTTGGTGTGCTTCTGTTCCAGCTCTGGCCTCTGTAGATGGTTAATATTTCTTAAGTATTTTTCTTTTCATCCTGTGCTGAGTGACTTACTACCTTTACTTTTTGCAGGAGACACTGGTGTGAATCAAAGAAGCATGAATATGCAGTCCTTTCATGGCAAGTGTATTTATATACATGTAAACCCAGAAATTAAAGTTGTCTAGTAACCCACCTTGCTTCTTCAATTCAAACCTCCTCAGGCTGTAATGGTAGAGGTCTGTGGACGCTATACATCTAGTCCTACATAAATTGTCTCCTAAACAAGACTTGACTGATTTTTAAAAAACTGAAAAAGCCATTAAATTTGCCATTGAGGCCAGGTTTCTAAATTGCATGTTCATGCAACTTGCATCTAGAATTCAGTTAAGCAGGCATCCTATCTTAATGGAACAGGTAAACTGGAGATAGCTGGGTAGAAATCGTCTTAGATCTTGCAGGTTGTTTGCAGTAGGAGTGAGGATCTCTAGTCCTTGATCTAGCTACAGAGAAAGTTTATTGAAATTCCTGGTCTTCTTTTTTAAGTTTTCAGTTCTGTGTGATAACCACTCTCTCATCCTTTCAGTAAATACCCTTCAAAGAGTGTTGTGAAGATAAAAAGGTGATGTTAAGGGGACAAAGCAAGAGGAAAGGGGACTTTCAGCCTTGGGTTTTATTCAAACAGAAATAGGCCAGGCAAGTGAAATAGGTGTGACTGCTGAACTGCAGCTAGGTAAATCTGAGCACACCTCAAGCCCAGGAAATAATGACTGGATCAAAAAAAAAACCTACCCACCTGCATTGTTCATCAATTTTGGAGGTTTGTGAAGGTTAGGTGTCATTTTTATGTTGTTACTTCTTGTGCCAGGCATGATCCCATGAGGGGTTGTTTCCTTCTCTCTCACAGCTCAGTGGCAAAGGTGTTCAGAATGCTGAATATTAATTGTTCTAGGCAGAGAAATTGTAGATTTCATTGCGCCCATTAGAGAAAGCAGATGTGTGTCAGTGAAATTACTGCGAATGTGGTATTGTTAGAAACATGATCAGATTGGCTGCTTTGGATTTGGAAGATGTACAGATGTCTTTTTGTTATAATCTGTCACTTTAAATTGTATTTAAATGGAACCTAATTAGGATTTTAATTAATATTAATAAACTAATAAGAAAATAATGAATATGAAAATTAAAAATCACTTTCTCAATTAAAAGTACTCAAAGAAAACAAATATCATAACACAAAACAGCTGCAGCTATCAAGAAATTAAACCAAATAATTTCTCAAACCTTCCAACTGCCTGATGGGTGAGGTCTTTTTCTTTTTGTGCTTATTTAACTGAATCAATGTCAAGTGTCATCTGCTGTACACTTAATCACTGAATGTAATTGCAAAGATATTATGAAAATCCAGAATATTTCCACTGGGTCCATACAAAAATTAAAACCGTAAACAATTTGGTTTTTTAATTTGCTAATCAATATCAAATTTTGTATTCCTATGTTTTGCTTATAGAGAGTTTTGGTCAGGTAACAGAACAGGTATTTTTAAACAACATTAACATTGCTTCTAATTTCAGGGATTATGCATTTATTTTAAAATAAATGTATCATATTGTTCATTTTGGAAAAAATGTTTTATCCATCTTTAGTGTTGTTGAGGATCTAAATCCACTCTTAATTTCTGTCTGATCTTACCTGCTTATCACTGCTGATTCATCAGAACTACAAATGGGAAGATGCTGATGTTTGAATTTAGTCTTCATTTAGTATTTTTATTAGTGCTTCTAACTTACTTCTGCTAAACAGCTAACATAGGATTATTTCCTTATGCTAAATCACTGATCATCTCTTCTGTGACCATAAGCAATTAGCATGGGAGAAGTAACTGCCCAGTTCCAAGCCCAGCTACTTTCTCATTTGTATAATAAACCACTTTTATTCTGGCTAAGACAAAGAACTTCACCCTTTCAAGCTAGTGTAAAACACTGCTGCCTACTAAATTAAGCAATGTATAGATATGTATTACAAGACTGCAATAGCATTACATATAATATTAATATATTATAAATATTATATATATCTTCTAGAGAACATCTATGATATTCAGTCTTCTGGTTTTATTAAGAATATTCTAGGAGCTGAGTGATGCCAGTGAAGCTTTTTTTTCCACTTCAGTGTAACTGGGGTCAGCTTTTTCATTCTACAGTTACCTGCCTTGTCCTTGACTAGTCCATCACTTTGGTATCTAGCATGTCAGAATAAATCTTACAGTAAAACAAGTTGGCAGTAGCTCCACTGACATAAAACCAGCATAAACACAGAGGCTGGGCCAAATTGCCTAGGTCAAATCAGATCTCTGAACTTTTGGAGTGGATCCAGCATTGTACAAAGCATTTCAATTTTTTTTTTTATTTTTTTTTTCTTTTTAAAAAATTTTATTTAATGACTTGTATATACTTAAATATTTAAAGTAACAGGACTTCTGTTCTTGCAAATTCAAGTGTAGGCTGGTCTCAGCTACTATACTGCTTCGTGGTCTACGCAACTCATTCTCATGTAAGCAAACAGCTGACAAAGGAATATGCAACAGGTCTGTGACATTAGCCTCATTAATTTATCTTTATATTAAAGAATATGTAAATTTATTCGTATAAAGGGTGATGAGACTTAGGTCTAGATTATGCTGTTAGCGGTTTGAGAGAAGTGTCACTTCTATACTTTACTCATAAAATAATGTTATTTCAAGTCATTCAAACTTTGTTTGGGTCCATATATTGTCTGTCTGGAAGAGGTATTACAGAAGTGCCGAGCACTGGTGTCAGTTAAACATGTCCCTTGCTACTGGCTCCCATACCTTTGGTTTCTGCCCCAGGCGGGGGCAGGGAAGGCGCATTAGAGCCAAACCCAAGCAGCCACGTCGGAGATGAGTTAACCCCTTCCTGGAAGAAGCCTCGGTCCAGACTCTCTCCTGCACTGCAGGTCTTCGGAGACCTGTGTGCCATCAGAATATCAGAATTCACCGTTTACTTCATTGAAAAGCCATTTCCTTCAGGCTAGGAAGTTTTCTGACCGCCCTTCACGGGCATGGTACAGGGCACCATGTAGTTGAAAGAACGATGGATGGCAAGATGTATGCATATGTATATGTATAAAGAATGTATTTCCTAGCACCGAGAAAAGAGGATGAGAGAAATAGGACGGTAGTCCACGGCTCTCCTTCCTCTGTGCTCTCGCCAGACCCCGGGCTGAGCCTGCCCAAAGGAAAACACCGCAATCCCTGCCCTACCCCGGGAGGGGGATTGCTTGTTGCTGAGCCCGGTACCCCCGTGTAGATAAATGCACATTTCTCTCCAGTCCCTTTCAGACTTCCCGCTTCAACTCGGCATCCAGGGGCTGCGGGAGGGCGGGCCGGGAGCGCCGGGGAAAGGGCCGAGCGGGGCAGCAGCGGGGCCAAGCCGGCCCCAGCCTGCCGGCCGGGCACATCGCATGGCGGGGGAACCCCGATCGTGTCTGCCGGGAGACGAAAGCGCTCTTACCTCGGAATGGGAGTCGCGCACGTCCCGCTCCCCCCGCCGGACTCCCTTCAGTCCTAAAACGCGGGGACACGGCTGCTTAACACCCCCCCAAGCAGGCGCGCACGGATGCAGGGAGCTCGCTGTGCGAGGCCGTGCTGTCCCGCAGCCAACTGCCTGTCCCCGAGCCCGCGGCGGCGGGACGAGATTCCAGCCAAGCGGCTCCGCTTCGGATGCTGAGGGCAGTTGAGAGCCTCAAGCTTTCCTCAGGTCTGTGTGCATTTGCTGGAAAGCAGCTTGCAGATTAAAGTGAGGCAGGCGAAGATGCTGGGGACTATTATTTTGCTGTAAAGTAATTAGTGGTGTTTCCATAGTTAGAGTTTCTGAAAGGGATATTTTTCATTTTTGGGGTTTTGATTTTTTCCATTCAATAGTGGGTCCTTCCTAACAAGGGCCTTTGCAATAAACTCACTTTCCTAACGCAAAGTCCCAAAAAGTCTTCATTCGGGGAGATTTCTTGTACTATGCAGAGCTGTCGGGCTCGGCTGCTTTCATTTAGTGGCTTTGAATCGCTCTAAAGAGGCATAGTGTGCTGCCTTTAAATACACGTTTTTTTTTAAAAAAGGCTCTTGTCTTGGGAAACTGCTCGATTTGCAGGAAACCCTCCGGATGTTTGCTGCTTTTCATGTGGCATTTGTGGTCGGCTCTGATAACGCTGGGAGCACCACTTCCAACACCGCATTCTGTAATGGACCTGAAATAGAAACACATCTCTCGCCGGAGGATCCCCACTCCGCGCCCCCGCGCTGTGTACCGGCGGGTTTAAAAGGTCAATAAATCACAAGGATGAACTCTCGGTGGCATTGTTAGGTTGGGAAAGTTAACGAATGACCCCAGGAGTCGTGCGACCACGAAGGTTTCAGGAGTGTCAGAAGAAGCTCCCTATTAAACGCTGCGGGGAAGTCAGCTCTAAGCACAGAGGGCGACTGGACTCTGAAGCAGCGCAATGCTGTTTTAAAGTTACAATTCGAAAAAACCCAAACAGTCAAAACAAAAAGCTAGAAAAGGAGGGAGATAATCTGTCTATAACGCCAGGGGCACTTGAAGCGTCACAAACTGCCAACATTTTCTGTACAAACCAGGGAGCTTTTACTTTCTCGGCTTCAATTCAAAACACACCTTTTTTCTTTGATCCCAGATCAATGAGCTGTAGAAACGGTTTCAACAAATCTCCCAAACAAAGTCAACTGTAGTTGCTTAGTTTATTACCTCATGTTCATTATACAGAAAAACATTTTCCCTTCTGCTGAAAGTGACAGCCCTAAAAATTGCTGCAAGCTTTATGTGCAAGCAGTCCCTCTACTCGCTGAACTTTTTCAGTAAAAGCCCCTGCGGAATTCTTTCGCTTGCCTCAATTCTGCTAATTAGAGCGAAAGAGAAATTCTGGCGTTTTAACAAGATCAACTGGTTAAAAAAAGGTAATACTCTCTCCTACGGTTTAAACTCCTAGATGGTTAGTCTTGTCGAGTCAGTAATGCGGCGTGAGCTGGGAGCTGCTCTGGGAAGCAATGGAAACGGACCCGCTCCCTTAGAGCAGCGCGTTGCTGTCTACTGGGATTTTGTTTTGCTTGGAAGTTGTGTTGCTGATTCCCTCAGCTGAGTATTCTGTTATCCGCAGGGAAAAATACACACGCTATCCTCACGCATGAATTTTCTTTAAACACGATTCTGATACTGTTTAATTCAGAATTTTCTCTGGGTATCGGCCGTGCGTCGGTGCGTGACCTGTTTCGGGGCGGCTGGCCTGGGATTGAGGGCTCTGAGTCCCGGCACGTCGGGTCGGGAAATGTCACAACCTCAGCCATAAAACTAAAGCCATTAGAACGCCAGCCTTACCCAGGTACGCCCTAAGATAGTGTCCCAAAGGCGCTGGACTAAAAACGAGTGAAAAATAAATTTATTCCTGACGAGCGTTGCTGGTTATCGCCAATTCTGGGCTGACGGTCGGCTTTTGCAAGCGCAGTGTCACTGTTAATTTATTTTACAATCAATTCTAAGTGCATAATACTTTTGCAAGAATGGTGCGATTATATACTAGTTTGAGATTAATTTAAACACACATATATGTAGGATCACTGTTTTCACCTCCGCTGCTTTTTAGAGCACGTAATATAAGGACTAAAAGCAAGTTTGTTTGAATCGCTGCTTCTGTGCTGGACTAGCATGAGTGTTTGAACAGAGGAAAAGAAAATTAAATTTTTTTTGTTTGGTTTAGGCAGATATCAGTCTTTTGATAATAGTTTCGACTCCTTGCAACAGGGATAAATATACTATAGTATTATGCTGGAAACATATAGCTTGTTTATAATCTCTAAAAAGCAGTGGGGAGGAGAAAGCTAAATGTAAAAATGACTGGGAAATTGTCTTCACCTGTATTAGTCCCTGGCAGCTCCGCCACTGCGGTCTTCTGCTTTTTAAAGCATCTGTCCGTCAAGTGTAAAGGAGCAGGCTTTACGTTGTGCGAAACAGGAAATTCAATGTTAGAATACGTTAATGGTTATTCTGACTTCATTCATTTAATTTCAGCGAGAATTCTTACAATATTGGTTTATTTGATCAAAGTGGCTACCCAAACAAAGGTGTTCTTAACAAAATAAACCCCTTTGATCTTCAGTTTAAAGCTGAGTGGTTTCTCAAATAAGCACTGATGCATTTAATAGCACCGCATAACAATGCAAATATTAACCAAAGCGTCCATGAAAACTCCGTATTCGACATTAGTTTGTATGCCATAGGATAATATAAATGGTGCTGAAACAAAATTCTGTTTATTCTGAAGTGATGAACATTTTTCAAACATCTATTTGAAATTACAGTTTATTTATTTGGGCAAATCAGAGAAATCCTAATAACGTAATGCCACAAGCAATGAGCACTGCAAAGTTCAACTTATTAATAATAGCTACAAAGAATATTTATGCTTTTGACAGACACTGAATAGCTTTAGGAAGTAAGAAAAAGTGAGAGAGGATATGTATCATAGGGTTTACTCTGGGTTCAGCATGCTACTGTAGAGGCAGCTGAGCTCTTTCATGGGTTTACGAGGGCAAATATGCTCAAGTAGCGCTAGAGGGTAAGAAGCTAAAGTGTGAGGCACAGATGATGACATGTCTTCTCATTACCAAGCTACATCCCAAATCTGCCTGTCGGAGAAGCTGCTTGTGCCTCTCAGAGTGTTACGGGGTATCTCGGCACAACCGGTGGCGTCGGAGGGCGAGCGAGGATCGCGCACGGCCGGGCGGGGCTGGGGCTGCGGGCGGGGCCGGTGTCGGTGTGGTCGGGAGCGGGCGTGGGTACCGCTCGGTGAGCGGGCGGTCTGACGGTGTCGGTGGGCGCAGGTAAATCGTGGAAGGCGCTGTCGCTGGCGGAGAAGCGTCCGTTCGTGGAGGAGGCGGAGCGGCTGCGGGTGCAGCACATGCAGGACCACCCGAACTACAAGTACCGGCCGCGGCGGCGGAAGCAGGTGAAGCGCCTGAAGCGGGTGGAGAGCGGCTTCCTGCAGCACGGCCTGGCGGAGGCGGCGGGGCCCGGGCTGGGCAGCGAGGTGTCCGGCGGCGGCGGCGGCAGGATGTGCGTGGAGGGCCTGGGACTGGCGTACGGCGAGCAGGGCTACGCGGCGGCGGGCGCGGGCCACTACCGGGACTGTCCGCCGCTGGGCGCCGCCGCGTTCGACGGCTACGGCCTGCCGACTCCGGACCCGTCGCCGCTGGACGCGGCGGAGAGCGAGGCGTCCTTCTTCGCGGCGGGGCTGCAGGAGGAGTGCGCGCTGGTGCCCTACGGCTACGGCCCGCACCCGGCGGCCGCCGAGTACCCGGCAGCGGCGTCCGAGAGCCCGTCGGGCGCGTCGCTGCGGCGGCACCTGCCGCCCGGGGAGGCGCTGGGCGCGGGCGGGTCGCTGCAGGGGCTGCTGGGCTGCCCGGCGCCGCTGCACGCCTACTACGGGCAGTGCCAGCCGCCGGGAGCGGGGCGCGGGCCGCCGCCGCCGTCGGGGGCCGTGGGGCAGCCGTCGCCGCCGCCCGAGACGGCGCCGTGCCGGGAGCAGCTGGAGCAGCTGCGGCCGGAGGAGCTGCTGGGCGAGGTGGACCGCACGGAGTTCGAGCAGTACCTGCGCTTCGCCTGCAAGCCCGAGCTGGGGCTGCCCTACGGCGGCCACGACGCGGCCGCGCTGTCGCCGCCCGAGGTCGCGGGTCCCGTCTCGTCGGCCGTGTCGGACGCCAGCAGCGCCGTCTACTACTGCGGCTACCCCGACTTGTGAGGGGCTCGCTGGGGCACGGCACGGACACTGGCATGGAGGCGCCCGGCCCCGCTCCTATTTATCTAATTTATTTGAATCTTGAGAACTGACAGGGTATCCGTGACCTACTCGAGGTTTAAAAGGTGATGTGCCATCTCGCTGTCCAGGTGGTGCAGGTCTTACCATCACTGTCCGACAGTGACATCTAAAAGTGATTCTGCGGTGGAATGGTGATACTAGGGGCACACGGAGAATATAATTTCAGATCTTGTTAGAGATCCACATGCTTTTGTATGTTTTACAGAGTGCTGTGTTTTATATGATGGATTTGTACAGAATGATTTTGCACTTTTACAATAAAGGGAAAATAATAAAACTGGTCTCTGATAACTCCTCCAAGAGGTCTTATCGTCCTTTGTGATTGGTTGTTACTGCCTTTTAAACTACTTCTGCAAGTGTCCCGTGCACTAAGCATTAGGTCCTCTCACACTTTCTGTAGACAGTCTTCCTTAAGTTTCTCCTGCTTCACTTACAGACAAAAAACTTAAACCTTCAGTAACTGCCTACTTCAGGCTCTTGGGTTTTTGTTTTTTTTGTACTTTCTTATAGAGCTGGTTAATATGGCTGAATTAAAAAGAAAGAAAAGACGCATTTCACTTTTGAAGTGTCAAAAGTCTCTATGAAAGTGCCTACTGTAGTACATTAAGGTTTGCTCCGTTTTTAAGGAAGCAGGAATTCGTTGATGGGATGGGTGGATAACAGCTGCTTTAAGCACCTCCTGGGACAGATTGTCTTTCCTGTCGCCGTAGCTGCCTTGCTGCGGGGGGGGGGGGGGCGGGGTATCACTTCTCTGCTGCGCAGAACAAGAGCTGTATGTCAGGATTCAAAGTAAGTGAAAAATTACGACACGAGCCTCCAAAGGGGGAGGTCGGCCGGGAGCATCCCAGTCAGCACTCTGCCGCAGCGCTCCTTTCATCCGTACCTCCCAGAATCTTACCTTTCCTCTCCTAAAGAAACCCCTTGGTCGATGTCATCGCACCTAGTGATAGAAATATCTTCGTGCTTGAGAAATGGGCACCCTGTAATTAAACTTGGGCGCAAAAAAAGACCTTTTCATTTAGATGTTAGTACTGAGTCCGGCTGTGGGATGGGACTGATAAATTAATTATGTCTATTGCTTAAATCGGGGGAGGAGGTAACAGTCATCTGGGTCGTTTGCTTCCTAAGATAAAGCTGTGGAGCTGAGCTCCGGGGAGGAGGGGTCAGGGGCCTAAGTGGCAGACTTGCCCACTGATTAGCCTATCTTCCACGAGGACGGGAAATTAAATTGGGTCCGTTTTCAAATTACAATTAAAGAGACTTATGGTTGTATCCGTGAAAGATGAATAGATGCAAACTGCCTCAATCAATGAGATTTGAGAGCAGCCTCCTCGGCAAAAATCGACTGAGTAGTTGCGCACTGAGTCTTGAATCAAAAGGCATTCAGACCCTTAATATTTAGTAAGATAGTCTACTCTCTAGTTTCTTAATCTTCCCATTTTACTTTTCGAACAGTCTTCAGTTCTAAGAAATATATCTAAAATATCCATCCTGTCACTCTCTTCACACCTCTCCCAACTGCACGTGAGAAAAATTATGTCATTCTGAAATATGTGATAGTTCAGAGAAAAGACACAATACGTTTTCTTGATTATTTAATTTGGAAAAATAAAAACAAAACAAACAAGCAAAAAAACTCCATTACATGTTTAAAACATAGATACGTAAATCAAGGAAATAAATATGCATGAGAGATGATTTCTTGTTTGGTTGAGTTTTCCTTTTATTATGGTATTTAAACCTACGTGATTAAATAATAAACCTTATTAAAATAATTTTGTCATTTTCACACATGTTCACAGCTTTCTGTGGGAAAATCACTGTGGCTGGTTTGGGAAATGAATCACAATAAGATTTTCATAACTTCAGTCACCATTTCATTTTTCCTTTAGATGCTGGTTTTGCTCCCCTCTTCTGTCCTTCACCCCAACTTGTCAGACAGCTGAAGCCCGAAGCAGACTTGAAACTGTAAGTGGCTCATAATGAAGGTTGATAATATTCTACCTTTTCTTTTCTTTTCTTTTCTTTTCTTTTCTTTTCTTTTCTTTTCTTTTCTTTTCTTTTCTTTTCTTTTCTTTTCTTTTCTTTTCTTTTCCTCTTCTCTTCTTTCTTCTTTTCTTTTCTTTCTTTTCTATATTGGAAGGGAATGACACTAAATTTAAATAAATACACTGGTTTTGGTAAAAGTGTCGGCCCACACAACAGTCCAACACACCACAGGAGTGTCGAACTGTGTGTGGTGAAGATGTGGTAGATATTCCAGCAACCCTTTTCACAGAGATTTTGCAGACTCAGATTTAAGAAGCATTATTTTCCTGTATATAGCCAGATGTGTAGCTCATTTTTTTAGCCCTTTCTTTTGAGAAGAACGGTCTCAAGCTTCTTTAAAATGTCTGAAACGATTTATGCACTGCCAATGTGCATGAAGCAAAATATTCTGAATCTCCGCCCAAGCCCTATTTTCCTCAAAGCACCTGGACTTTCTGATTCTAGATGACAGACACCCAAATCTGTCCGGTAGCCCTTTTGAAAGCATTAAACCTTCCTCACACCCGATGAGCGCAAAAACCAAAATTATTAATATTTTTTTCTCGAGAGTTTTCCGCATCAAGGTTCTCGCTGTCCGCCGGTGAAGGCAGTTGCTGTGTGCCCCGGGGATTGTGGAGAAGGCTTCAAGTGTGTGACAGAGACCGAGGTGGCTCCTGGCCGCACTCTTCAGGCAGAGTCGGGGTCTGTCACTCCCACTCCGATCCCGGCACTGCACTCAGGGCAATTCGCTCCCTGGAAACCGCACTTCTGGTTTACTCCACAAAAGTAAACCACAAAGACAGGGTGGCATCAGCAAAACCTCTCTAACCTTACCCAAACTCTTTCTCCAGTTAAACAACGGCATTGCCTGGGCAGCGCCTTCCAGCCCCGTCCTGCAGCAATGGTGAGTGCTCTCTGAAGCTCACAGAGATCGCTTATGCCCCAAAGCCCAAAAGGTATTCAGCTCTTTGTCTTTTGTTTGGTGTTGGGGTTTTTCAGTCCCTCTCTCATTAATTCCCAATAAATCCCTGGTAACGTTTCGATTTTTCTTAACACAGTCAAATCCCTTACTTTGGTCGTTAGTGTCACATTGCAGCTGGAAGAGTTTGGTTTGTTGTTTTACTTCTGAGTGGGTTGGTTAAAATTATTGCACTTTCTGCACTGCAAAATGACAGGCTATGAACGCATTTGTAGAGAAAGGAGTAGGTTATTTGTTTCATTTCCCTGATTCGAGGGTTGCAAAGCCACCCGGACGTCGCTGCTGTTAACACTAACCCACAATCTGTTCCTGTTCTGGATTATAGGGTCCTATAGGTGTTTGTGATGCCCCAAGGCTGAAGATCGGGGGGGCATTACATGCTTGTATTTATTATATATATATATATATATATACAGTTTTATATATATATATAGTTATATATATGTATGTATATAGTTATATATAGTTATATATATATATATGTATGTATATAGTTATATTGTATTCTGGAACTCGTTTCAAAGCCTCCTTTAAAAAACAAAACCAAACAAACAAAAAATTTCCCGCTCCTAATGTGTGCTACTGAATCTCTATTTTTGCTGCTCGGAAGTCACTCGTGCTCAGGGGAGCTGCTGTTGGTGACGGATCGGTAGAGCTGCTTTAGAGGACAAGCCCGAACTCATGCCACCAAGTCGTTACGTGGTATGACTGAAAGAATTGCGGGGTGCAGTCCTTGTCACCGCGTGATTCTGCTCGCCGGCCGGTCAGCTGTGACCCGCTTGATCCGGCCAGCTGTGAATTGCTCCATTTCGTGTCTGCTGAAAAAAACCTACGGCAAACTGGGGAGGTTGGGTGTCTCCTGCCCCATATTCGGCACTCGCCCCCAGCGTGCTCCGAGCAGGGGCAGCGGGCACCAGTTACCTGGTTCACCGGTTCACTGGGACGGGAGGCCCAGCCCGTGGGTGAAGCATTCAACCCCCTCCCTGAGCCCCCGCCCGGCAGCCTCTGGGGTGGGAAAGTCCGCGGTGGCCCCTCGGTGGTGCTGCCAAAGAGCGAGAACGCAGGGGTGAAACAAGGGGACGGGGGCTGCAGAGCGGCTCCAGGCTCAAAGACAGCCCGCTGAAAGCAATGCAGACTTGTACGACAGGTCCAGTCCTCCCTGTCCTTGAGGATGTCAATATTTTCTCAAAAATAACTACTCCAAGTTAACTAGCTGCCTAAGCTGCCTAGTTTTTATCTCAGGGAAATTTAAAGTACGTGTCCAAGGAATACAAGTGATTCTCTTTCATATTGTGTGCATGTGTGTGTGCTAAAAAACAGAGCAGGGAAAGCCATTCTGTGTTGGGATAGGAAAATAGTTTCAAACTAAAAGAGGATCCTTTTAGATAGATTGGTGCTATAAGGAAGCAGGCTTACAACGAGGGTGGTGAAACACTGGAACAGGCTGTCCAGAGAGGTTGTGGATGCCCCATTCTCGGAAGTGTTCAAGGCCAGATTGGATGGGGCTTTGAGCAACCTGGTCTAGTGGAAGGTGCTCCCGCCCATGGGAGGAGGGGCTGGAATTAGATGATTTTTAAAGTTCCTTCCAACCCAAACTAGTCTATGATTACTTCCTGCAGTTTAAAGGGTTTATATATATTCAGCTATCTTCTGTCCAAAAGCAATTATTCCAGACTTGGTCTGACATCTTTACCATTGCCAATGGATTGTTTCCCAAGTAGGTATTCTGCCCCCCGAACCTATCCCAGCCTGCAGGCATTTAAATTCGCTTTTCCGGGTTCCAGACTTATGTGGAAGATAAAGGATTCTAAGTAACTCGTGCTAGTGTGTCTCTTTGCAAAGAACTAACACAGAAATTTATACTCCGCTTCAAGCTAAACAGAGGAACACAGAGGCACCAGGAAAGAACGATGATTTAAATAATTCCTATGTCCATCGCTGGAGAGAAGACTGGGGTTCCGGACGGCAGGAATCTGTCGAGGGTGCTCCTGCTCCCACTCCCCACCCGGGATTTACCGCGGTGCCTCGAGGGAGCCCGGCCCGGCCGCTCCACATACCTGGTGGAGATGGGCTGTCCTGGAAAAGCGAACCTCATTGGAAAGGGGGGAAAAGGGCGTTAATGACCGGCAAACTTTATTAATGAGGGCAGGATTTATTCAGTGTTTTTTTTTAATCGCCTGTAACTTCACGCCTTTTCTATTCAGATAATGTGCGATCTCATGTATCAAGGCATAGATGCGCCCTTCAGCTTGTCCAGCTATGCTGGAGCACAAGAAAAAGATCCAAGAAACACATCCCAGGTGGTGCCAAGGTTTGCAAGTCGTGCTCGTTTATGGGCAAACTTTCTCTGCATTCACGCTGTATGAAATATGGCACTGATAACACATCTTCCGAGGCACGCGTTGAAAAATAAGGTTGTTGGTACTATCGAAAATACGATCGAATACCAGAAAACCGAAATGAGAAGAATTATTACCGTTTATGAGAACGTCACATTTATCAAGACTGCTCCCAATATGATGGCAGTAGGATAGTTGTAAAAATAATTAAAACCGCCTTGAATCCATCACCTGTTCTTAGGAATAACAAACAGTATTGTCTTTACAACTTCTCTATACATTCCGAAAAAAATGAGGTTCGCTTAATTTTGAATACCTCGTGATTTAATGAAACCAACTTGCTAAGGAGGCAAAGCACAGAGAGCTGACGGCAAGGGGATCCTGCGAGGCCGTGACAGTGACAGCCAGACGGGAAAAAATCTGTCTCTGTTCGCGGAACTGCCTCGCCATAGCTGAAAGCGCGGATGCACCGAAGCATTCCCGCGCCGCTCCCTCGGAGCAGTTGGTTACGGGGGAAGAGGGCAGAGCAGGAGCAGCCAGAGCAGCTCGGACCTACTCAGGTAGCGCTACAGGATACGAAGCTGAAATGTGAGGCACAGATGATGACTTTTCGTATCATTACCAAGATACATCCCACATCTACGTGCAGGAGAAACCGCTTGAAGGCGCCCGGCCCCGCTCCTATTTATCTAATTTATTTGAATATCCTTTGGACTGGTCCACGAACTTTGTCTGGGCGGACAGAAGCTGCTATCCCGGTTATCATGCAGGCTACAAGCCTCTTTCGAACTGCTTTTCGGCTGCTCTTAATGGGATGTTTACATCTTTTTTCCCCTTTCGTCCATGTGCGTGATAATCGATATTTTTGCAAAATCAGCAGTCTTACATGTTTGCTCAAAACATGTTTCTAGTTGTGTTTTTTAACTATATCTGTGTTTTAGTATTTGCGGAAAATAAATGAATGTACAGTTGTTTCTGTCATTCTTCTTGGTCACCTGGCCCTTGAGTGGGAGCAATTTTAAGTTAAATTTGTAATGCCCTAAGGCGATGCTTTCCAAAGGCAGATACGCAGTGATTCTTTCACCATGACAATGGCTCTAAAACAGCCTCCGGGACCTAAGATTTTTTTTCCGGGTGTGGCTGTATTCTTATCACACAGCTTAATGGTCAGATCTCTGCTGCTGGTCTGTCTCTTGGAGTACAGAACATGTGATTGGACTTGGGTGCATTTTATAGGTTTTTTCCTCCTGATTTGAGTGCCATGGGTTTCATGCTCAGTTTGCACCAGTGAGGAGAAAAAACTGCAGCTCGAGTGCTCATGTCGGCTCCTGTCAAGTATCAATCAGCTGAACATTAAAATGGGTTTTTTAGCATGTTCGTGTGCTCTGTTGTGACGTTTCTGCCGCTGCAAGGGTACAACTATATTGTCACTCTTTTGATGTTTGGAAGATGCTGGCTGGAGTGAGCCTACAGTAATTGTGGTGGAGATTTTCAGATATTTTCATTTGCCAATGACAGTTCAAAAGTGATTTGCAATAACAAATATTTTTGGGTAAGTGTACTTTATCCTACTTAGTTTACTATCCTACATCTTTATTAGACAACAAGTTGTGGGTGGAGAAATCCTGGAAAAATTCCATTTGTGCAATAATATATATATTATGCTTATAAATTGCACAAATTTTTATAAAAATTATATGACAGTGACCATTTTAAAACCCATTATGGACACAGAGCTAGCTGTATTTTTAAACAAATCTGGTCAAAATATGGGATCAGATAATGTTTTATTTATTAATTCAGAAAATGTAATTTTATTTAGGTCTCAAGAAGTCCTGATTATGTCCACTGCCACCAGTCGCAGTTTTTTAACATCATGTCAATGAAATACTGATAAAAATCACTTGGAATCGCACTTCCTTCCTTGTCATAACATCATTTTCCCCCTCTCAACTTGACAGTGAAAGAAGTGTGAAAGCCAGCGTCTGATATTAAGGGGATTTGGTGCAGGGTGGGAAATAAGATTGCATATATGTCACTGTTTTAAAAGCATAGTCACTTCCATATAATAGTTTTTGTCTAGATAGAAATATTTGACATATTATAATTATAGGGTAGGAGAGGGCTAACAACTCTAAAAAGTGAAAACTCTAGTTGAACAATTGGATTGTTCCAGTTGTTTCCTAGATGACCAGCCTTGTGGGTTGCCATCATGGGAATCATACTCCTACAGTTATGGGCTGCTAAAACTGTAGCAGGGATTCTTTATCATACTGTTGTAGAAATGATCTAAAAAAACCTCTCAGAATAATAACAAATTAGATACTTTGAATAGATATTTAGGGATATTGAAGTAATATTAATTTTGTGTAATTGATTTTTTTTGTATATTGATTCTCTACATACATCCTAAGATACATTTTTTTTTAATTAAACTTTTTTACTATACTATGATACAATAGTATAGCCTCAGTACTAGCTGAATTCTGTTATAAAATAAAATTTAAAAAATCCTCCAGTAAAAGAAAATTAAGGAAGGGAAGTAAGCTTAATTTAAAAAGTTCCAAAGTAAGGTTAAACAAATTCCAGGATTAAAGTTATCAGTGTAGCTCTAGTTAACCTCTAGTGAATACCGTTATTATATCAGTATTAATTGTAGATGATACACACATTTTCTATGGAACTCCAATGCAGTTAATCCCTATCTTGAACAGAAGTCATACATGAAGTTTGAAACCAAAATGCTCCCTAGTTATAGCGCTTATAGCACTTATTCCTTCCCAACATCTAATTCCCAAGTCTAGTTCCCTTTGCCTTGCAGTTGACCATCTAGTACTGATTTCTACCTAGAACTTTGTCCATTATCTGCATGAAATGAAGCAGCGAATGAGGAATCCCTCACAAAATAACGGCATCTAATCCACTATGGGAGCCTGTATTTTAATCTGCTGTAAGGTGAGGGAACAGATATTGTCAGTGTGTTTTTGGGATAATAGTGTAGGACAGGAAAATGATGCTGGGGCTGTGGAATAATTGGTTTGATTCTCATTCTGGGAATGACATCTGTTACTTTGCCTCTCTACTTTCTGTACCTGCCCTTTTGCTATAGCCTCCTTCTCTTGCACTCTGCCTAGTTTGCTCCTTTTATTACTCACGTAAGCCTTTTTCCTGTTCTGTAATAGGCTAACCACTCCCCCCTGGTTTGTCTATTCTTTCTCTTCTCAAAATACCAAGCTTTCCCCCTTTGTCTGAAATCTACCTGCATCCTCTCCCTTTCCTTGGTGGCTTGCCTTTTTTTAACCCCTATCTTTTTCATGTTCCTAGTTGCCCACTGGCTTTGTCCTTACCTCTGCTCCTCAGTGTCTCCTGATTGTTTCAGTCCAACTGTGCCCTTTTTTCTTCCTCCTTGCAACCTCCTATGAGGTAGCTTCCTCTCTATAAGCTCATTCTCCTGCCTTCCTGCTTCACATTTCATGGTTTAATTCTCCTTGTGGTTTTTGGAGTTTCTAGCTTCTTAAAGTTTTGACCGGGTACCTTAGGCAGTTTTCCATGGAGGAAGTGTAAACACACCTCTGATACTGAGGGACTGCTAAATATTAAAATTACTGCAAAAGGGTCCCAAAATTCAATTAATATGATTGAAAAAACACAGTTTCTCTTCCCCTATTTTCAGGAATATCTGACCAGCTTTAGCTCTTATACTCTGCTGGAGTCAGCTGACTAGGATGAAAAATTTTGTAGTCCAAATGTTTTGTTAAAGCTGTAAAAAGCTGACTTCATGTTATTTAAATGAAAACTCTGAGATGATTTTAGCTGCAGGCACCTGTACATCACTTTCAAAACCATCTGAGTATAGTTCTTAAAAACATTTGAGCACTAATTTAGGGATGGGAAAGTAATTTAACTGACGTATTGGTCCAAGCATAAAACAAGTATTTTCAGAAAATCCTACATGGGAATGTTCAAATTTATCCTGTATCCCAAGGCCACAGTGAGCACTTTCTCAGTTGTGTGGAAGGTGGCTGGAAGCTTCCCGTGTGTCCAGTGGGCACGGCTGGTCTGTGCGGCTGCCTGCTCCCTGCATGGCTGGGGCTGGTGGGAGGCTGCTGTGGGAGTGTGGGCGGTGCCGGCTGGAGCATCCCCGGCTCTGAGGCACCGCTGTTCTCCTGGAGCTGCTGCATGAGGAGTTTATGGGCTGATAAATGGTGTTATCATCTGGTGGATCGTGTTATCTCCGGTGGATTTTGGCTATCCCAATCCACTCAAGTTATCAGAGCAGTTTCTGGAACTCCTAAAGAGACTGTTCTGTCGTGATATCACCAGTCTGGTAAGCTGGAAATCAGGGTGTGGAGGCCTTTAGGTATTTTAAATATATATATAAAATATTTTTATTCAGTTCCTTAGAGCTGTTCTGCGGACACCACATTGCTTTGATTAGTTTTCCAAATTAATATTGTGAAAGCAATAATGTTCCTTTTGCAGCCATTGTTAAATCTAGTGATTGGTTTATTAAAATTCTTAGTTTTTCTTAAATGAATATGAAAATTAATATATTCTCTTCTAGCAATCACTATATTTATGGCTGCATATACAATGATTACTACATTAATACAAATTTATATACAGATTTAAAATTTTGTGTTATAGATTGCAGTATAAAATGGAGACTATTCTAGTCAATGAAGCATAAAAAATTTAACAATGGCAGCAAAGTCCTAACATCTAATTTACATTTCTTGTCAGGTAAATTACAACTAAGCATTTTGTCTTACCCCAATGATTTAAAAATGTTTTTAATTAAATGGGCACATGGTCACATGGAGACAAAGGATTTCTCCTGAGGTGTCTTAATGTCCAGGTTGTATGTTATATTTTGTATAGCTTGAGATTAATTGTAGTTCTAAGGTGTCTTTCTTAGATTTGATTCAAGCATGAGTATAGTTTATGTATCACCACAAATTGAAATTGCCACGGCTCTTAAAATACATTAATGATACAAGTTTTGAATTTTGAGGTAAAGAAACAAACACCCAAACATCATGGTGTATTGTCACCTGACAGAGATAAAAGTGAAACACTACTCATGATGTCATGAGTCTTTCAGTAAAAAGAATCTCAAAACAAAGAGCATAAGGAGAAAAATACGGATGATTTCAGAGCAAATCTAGAAATGCCCTTTGAGATATCAATAAATATCTGAGACTTGATGCAGTCTCCAGAAATTTCATAATTAAATAAATTGCAAATTTCTTTCCAGCTGCTTTCAGACTCTCTCAGAACACTTCCACCTACAGTGGAGCAGTAACAAGCAAAGTAAAAATATTTGAGCTACGGAAGCTCTGTTTTTATGGCTCTGTTCTATCCTTTTAAAATTATTCATTTTTATATCCTATCTGTATTGTGATACAAATTAATTCCAGGTGCCTGACATTGAAAAATGTTGAAGTAAGATTTCATAAACAGAGTTCTTCATCAAAACAAATTTTTGCCTTGTTTAAAGAAGGATACCAGCATCAGCATCTTCTGCATTTTAATTAGCAATAGTTCAGAGAAAGTAAATTTCCATATTTTTCCTTATCAGAGAGATATCATTTCATGGAGTATTCCATAGAGTTATCAGGGGAATATAGTTATTGTTCACATTGAGGGTGGCCCCTTACACTTACCCACAGAGAACATATTTAGGTACCAGCAAGTCTTGGGTTCTTTCCAAGGCATTGTGGAATTACTTTATGGTGTCTGATTTACTTTAAAGCTTCTTGTTATTGCCATGTAGAAACAAAATTTATCCTGCACACA